TTTTCGCTCAGCAATCCCATTTTGTTGAGGAGAATTGACACACGAAGTAAGATGAATAATCTCAGTTTCCTGAAAGAAAGAACCCAAAACATTGGCAAAAAACTCACTACCATTGTCAGAATGAAACATTTGGATTGAACACTGAAATTGGGTTTCAACCATCTTATGGAACCGTTTAAATATTTCACAAGCTTCAAATTTGGTTTTCATGAGAAATGTCCAGATAGTACGAGTGTGATCATCAATAAATGAAATAAACCACCGAAACCCATGTAAAGATGCGACCCGAGATGGTCCCCAAATATCACTATGGATCATGGTAAATGGTTTGGACGGTTTATATGGAGAAGGTAGATAAACACTCCTAGTTTGTTTAGCAAGTGGACAAATATCACAAGAAAAAGATTTTGGACTCTTATTGACAAACAAATGTGGAAACAATTTTGCAAGATAAAAGAAATTGGGATGTCCTAAACGAAAATGCAATAACATAACATCGGTTGAAGGTTCAAGTAAAGGAAATTGTTGTATAACATGGTAGGAAGTAGATGGGTGGGAAAATAAAGTTGCTGGAAGTAGGTAAAGACCCCCACAAAGCCTAGTACTACCAATCACTTTCCCCGAGCTAGAATCATGAAATTCACAAAAATCAGAGTTAAATTTCGTGATACAGCATAAATCGACAGACAACTTGCTAATGGAGATAAGATTGCAAGTAAGATTGGGAACATAAAGAACATGAGATAACAAAATGTCTTGATTTATTCGAATAGACCCATGACCGACAACACTGGATAGAGAATCATCAGCTGTTCGAATATGAGAGATAGACGAGTCGGCATGAAAAGTGTGAAAGAGCCGAAGATCACTTGTCATATGATCACTTGCACTAGAATCCGCAACCCAAGTAGGAGTGGTGGATGTATTAGCCAAAGTAGCAGAAGGAATTCTACCTGCAGGTACTGATTGGGAATGAGTGTTTAACTGACTAAAAAACTGCTGCAACTCTTCCATTTGTTTTTTAGTAAACGAACTTCCTTGTAAATCAGTATTCACAGCACAATTTTCTTGAGTATCACGTTGTTGATGATGTTTTGAAGACTTCCCATCAGTAGGCTTACCATGTAATTTCCAATAGGAATCCCGCAGATGGCCAACCTTCTTACAATAGTCACACCAAGGTCTCCCCTTCTTTGGCTGAGTAGTAGTTTGAGAGTGAGGGTTATAATTGTCACCATTCAATCGGTGACAGGTGATAGAGGCTGAAGAAACATCAGAATGGGGTGAATTAATGAGGAATTCTGAAGTGACCTCCGATGAAGTGGTGGAATTCATGATCGACGGCTAGATTTAAGGTAAAAAAAGAAAGAAAAAAAAATTGGCTAGGGTGAAGGATCGATCACCTAACTGATACCATGTTGATAAAGAGTAAACAACATAGTGGAGAAGAAAATGAACTCTTTTTATTATATATTGTGAATGGTGAAAATACATCTTTTTATAGGAAAAGTTAGGAGTAAGTTTTCTATTAGAAGTAAACTACTTGGTAGTTATCTTTATCTATCTAACTTTCTAAGAGTTAGTGTTATATTAAAATACTAACTTATCTATTGCATAACCTACAGATACACTTTTGGGAATAGAAATGGAGTTTAGGCTAGTAAGAAAAGCTTTGTGGTTACGAGACAAGATTTTGTAGGATATGAATAGGTACAAAGGTTGTTTTGTGCAAGCTCTCATTCCTTTTCTAATTACAATAGGAAAGTCAAAATCCCTTTGATCAGAATTTTCAGTGGTATTATTTTGATTATAAATAGGTTCAGGTTCAGCAATTACTTCGGGTTGTATAGGAGAATAGGATGATTGAACTTGCACTGATACCTTTCTCCTTGAATAAACCAGGAAAGGACAGACAGTGTCTTGAACCCCTTGTTGTGTTCTGGTGTAATAGGCTCGGTCTCCTCGGATTGGATGGAAGTAGGTTGGGCTAGATCAGGTTGTTGGGCTGACTGATTGGCAGGACATTGTTGTGTAGTTGCCTGGTTATTATAAACAGTGGCTGGAGCTGCTGGAAAATCAGGGGAAAAAATCTCTATCCTTATCTTCCCTGAATGAAATCTACCCCTGAAGATAATGACGGGTAAAGTAGTTTTCTTCTTCTGCAAATGTGACATCAGGAGAAACAAAGTGTTTTCTCGTAGAAGGATGATAGCATTTGTACCCATTTTGAGTGGAAGAATAACCAACAAAAACACACTTTACTGCCCTTGGATCAAGTTTTCCCCTATTTTGAGAATGTATATGAACAAAGGCAACACAACCAAACATTTTGGGATTAAGATTACTTGAGGTATTGAAATTAGGGAAAAATTTTGTTAGGATTTGTATAGGGATTTGAGACTCAAGGACCTTGTAGGCAGTCTGTTTATCATGTAAGTGGCAGTTAAGACAACTTCCCCCTAATATTGTTTAGAAACATTTTTCTGAAACAAGAGGGCTTTTGTGATGGCAAGAATATGACATTTTTTTCTCTCGGCTACACCATTTTACTGGGGTGTATTGACACAGGAAGACTCATGTATGATGCATTTTTCTCAAAAATAAGGTGAGAGGACTTGATTGAAGTAATCTTTGGCATTGCCCGATCGAAACCTCTTTATTTCATCCCCAAATAGGGTTTTAATCATGTTGTAAAATGTTTTGAAGATAGAGCTCACATCATATTTTTTGTTTTAGAAGAAACATCAAAGACACTCGGGTACAATTATCAATAAAGGAGAGAAACCGTCGGGCCCCAAATATGTTTGGAATAGTGGATGGTCCCCAAACATTGTTATGAATAAAAATAAAAAGATTGTAGGTTCTTTATTGCTCAATGAAAAAGATGTGCCTTTATGTTTTGCAAGTTCACAAATATCACAATGAAACTTTTCAACATTTAAACCTTTGAATAGAGAAGGAAACATAAGTTTTAGAATTCTAAAGGATGGGTGACGAAGGCGGGGGTGATAGAGCCATATTTGGTCTTTATTGGTTTTAGATTATGAGAGAATGGATAATGGTGAGGAGTTCAAGGCACTAACTTGTCCACCGGGGTCTTCAAGATAGTATAGGCCATTCACGTCCAATCATCCTCCTTATACCTTGTTCTTGAAAAATACATCGAGTATGATAGAAGAGTACAGTGCAATTAGTATCTTTGGTGATTTTCTGGATAGGAAGAAGATTAGTAAATAATTTTGGTACATGAAGGATATTTTTTAGTGTGAAGGTTTCACTTACAACAATATCCTCTGACGAACCACTGTAATTACAATGTCATCTGCTACTTTTATTTTTTTTATTACTAGGGCAGGGTGTATAGGTGATAAATCTTTGAAAGGAGTTTGTCATATGGTATGTAGCCTCTAAGTCGATTACCCAGGAATTTTGGGTGAGTATATTGGAGGCTTTAGAGTTTTGAGAAGTGGATATACCGGAGAATACCAGAGTACAAGTACCTGTTGAAGAGGTCTTCTCCATTGTCCCACCAAATTTTTTAGTTTTTTATTTCTTCTCTGTTGAATTCAACAGTTGGTTCTTGAGGGTCTTCTCCAGCCAGTTGTTTTGCTGTATACGCACGTCCTTGCCTCTTTTGATTGTCCACTTTTTTTAAAAAAACTCTTGTTGTTTGTGGCTTCCCATAAAGCTTACAACACTTCTCTTTTGTGTAACGCGGTTTCTTGCAGTAGGTGTGCCATAAGGAGTCCCTGTTGATTGGCCTTGTAAGTTCTGTATGCCTACTATCTTCATAAATCGGTTGTTCCAAGTCAGGTTTCCTCTCAGTTACAGCTCTCGTGACTAAGGTTGAACTCTCTACTTGATTATTCTCAATCATAACCCCTCTTTTTCCTTCCTCAGCACGAATAATTGTAGTAATTTTATTTAGTGAGGGAAGATCCTCTTTTCCAATCAAATTCAACGATTAGTCCAACAAGAAAGTCATAGATTTGATCTTTTTCGACAAACCCTTTTAGGAGTTTTGCATCTTCATTGCATCTGATCTGGATGCACTAGTAGTAATCTATCTCTAGCCAAAGACTTTGCAGTAGATTGGAATATTTTGTGATTGATTTACTTCCCTTCTTGGTAGATGAAATCTTAGTCTTTATTTCATAAATTTGGGCAGCATCTCGAACCTTTGGATAAGTTTGTTTCACAACCTCCTATATTTCTTGGGATGTGTTAAGAAACATGCATGTATCACTGATTTCTGGCACCATAGAGTTCCATAACCAAGACATTACCATTGAGTCTTGTCCATCCCAAGCATCAAACTTAGGATCCCCTCTTTTGTTCTAGTCTCGAGTAGGTGACTCAACTTTCCTCTCCACTTTAAGAAGGTACAAACCAGTTGAGACCACTTTAGGTAATTTTTCCCATTTAATCTGTAAGTTGCTTATATATTATGCAAGTCACTTGTTGCGTTTGAGTAATTCCCTTCATTCCCTGAAACTTCTAGAGTAGCCTCAGAGTTGATGGTTTCATTGACTTCTACCATACTCTTCTCGAATTAACACTACACACTTGAGGAAGGGGATTGAGAATAATAAGAGGCTATTAAAAAAAGAATAAAAAGACCCCAGAAATGAGCTAAAAAAGCTCTGATATCATGTTGAAATGGACTGAATTCTGATATATATTTCATAGAAACGGTACACTACTATATATACAAGCAAAAGACTTAAAGGAAACTAACTAATTCTAGGGAAAACTAATCCCTTAAAATTAGGGATTACAGATACTAAGAATTTTACAGTCTCTCCTAATTAATTTCACACAATCTTCCTAATTTAGGAAGTTGTTTTCTGACAATATATAACTCAAGCACGGCTCATGCCAAACAAAGAATTATCATAATTCAATAGTTATTAGAAAAAGAAGCTTAAGACCCATAAATAAAAATCAGTAAACATAGCTCACAAGAAACGGAACAAAATGATACAAATATAAAAGCATACCATGGAGTCAACCCTCCAACAAAAATAACAGTACTTAGTGACATGCGCTTCTGCCCTGCTCCACCAAAGCCAGCAGTAACTATAGCATTTAGCGTAGCATCCATGCTCGCATCAGGCATTACAACTGCATGATTTTTCGCTCCAATATTGCACTAGAAACAAGAAGCAACAAGCAAAATTAAACACCTTTCAGAGAAGCACAATTAACATGAAACTCAAATAATTGCTATACTAGGGCAAGCCAGCAACCAAAATGTCTGTAGAAAAAGCAACAGATTTGTTTTCCAAAAAATACCTGAACACGCTTTCCTTTAGCAGAAGCTCTAGAATACACATAAGAACCAGCCTTGTAGAAGTTAAAAACATGCATAACAGTAATTAGTAGGAAGTACCATACTAATAAGTGGCCAGAAGCTCTATGAGAGACTAATAATTATAAACAGAAATAAAGGTAGCAACAGACAAACAGCCATATGTGTCTAGCCAGGTAAAAGTTAAAAGACATCTCATAATTTTAGAAATTAAAACTGAAGCATGATAAAACATACAAGATACCAGCACACAAACTACACCTTGAGCCTTTGGCCATCAAGTATTGATATAAGTTGCATCCATTTACAGTTTCAAGATGTTCAATAGAGAAAGGCAAGCCAACTATATAGCTTTTGCTATGTTCACCGAATCTATAAATTAATTCTAATATTACCCATTATCATTATACCCACATAGTCAAAAAGCCTTCACGTTGCTACTGTTTGCATTTCCCAGAAGAAGAAAAAACTAATCAAAACACAGACCTCTGTCTTAAGGGTAGATGTCATGTATGTACTATTAGTAGTTGTCAACCCTTCAGAACCATAATCAACCAAGTTAAACCTACCTTAAGACAGATTTTTAGTCCGGGTACAACATTTACACAGACAAGGCAACATAGCAGTTCCTCAAAAATGAGAATATAGGTATTGCAAGACATGGCAATAGAATTCTTTTTCTTTTTTTTTATAGAATAGGGAGACCTCATTAAAAAACCCCTTCATACTCAACGAAATATGAAAGTTTCGTAGAGCATTGGAAGGAGGAAAAGAGTGTCTCATAATTTTATTGAACCAACGAACATTACAACTTAGAAAACATCAGCACCTTACATCCACTATAAACCAAACAATACAAAACCCCCCAAATCTAACACATAAGTCCTACACACAACCCTACTCATCCAATGCCCTCTTTTGCCAACTTATCCGCCTCCCAATTAGCCGCTCTGGAAATATGTCTGATCACCACAGCTTTATCCCTATAAATCTCTAATATTTCATTCAACAGTAAACACAACTGATTCGGGCAACCCCCAAATTCTTAATCCAATTAACCCCACAAGACAATCACACTCAACAATAAGTCTACCTTTGCAACTCCATTGAGAATCAAAGAAAAGATTCAAACCCTTTTTAATAGCCAACATTTCAGCAGTTGTAGGAGGCTCCTTCCCAATTGCCTCAGAGAATGAAGCCAACATATAACCCCTTGAATCTTTAATAAACCGTCCTATACCCCCTTTCATCCAATCATCTGTGACAGCACCATCCACATTTAATTTAAAAAAGCCTTCAGGAGGCGGAACCCACAGAGCTCGAGATAACACCTTACTCCCCTGTCTGCCACACCTATCCGCAACAGAAGGATCCCCCATAAGACAATCCCTCAAACACTAACATGTTTCTATACTTCCAGATATACCACAAAACGGTAGCAGGAATAACTCCCCAGAATTCAAAATTCATAACCAACCCCCACCAAATTCTTAATTCAATTAACCCCACAAGACAATCACACTCAACAATAAGTCTACCTTTGCAACTCCATTGAGAATCAAAGAAAAGATTCAAACCCTTTTTAATAGCCAACATTTCAGCAGTTGTAGGAGGCTCCTTCCCAATTACCTCAGAGAATGAAGCCAACATATAACCCCCTGAATCTTTAATAATACGTCCTATACCCCCTTTCATCCAATCATCTGTGACAGCACCATCCACATTTAATTTAAAAAAGCCTTCAGGAGGCGGAACCCACAGAGCTCGAGATAACACCTTACTCTCCTGTCTGCCATACCTATCCACAACAGAAGGATCCCTCATAAGACAATCCCTCAAACACTAACATGTTTCTATACTTCCAGATATACCACAAAACGGTAGCAGGAATAACTCCCCAGAATTCAGAATTCATAACCAACCCCCACCAAGCTTGCAGAAAAAACATTAGGGGAAAAATGCAAAGAAGATTGAACATTCCAAAATCTTAAAAATCTACACCACAACAGGTAGGAAACATTACAGGTAAAAAATAAATGCGATACTGATTCAGGAAACAACCCACATAACGGGAAAAACGTATCCACTATACCTGGAACCTTCCTCTTCATTAACTCACACTTCACAACCATCCTTTTGATCACAACCTGCCAAAGGAAAGATTCCACCCTCGAAGGAACAAGGCCACTCCAAACCATCCGACTCCAATATTGATCAACCCCCAGAACCTCAAACCATAACTCAAACAAGACCTCACCGAATATACCCCATCACCACAACCTTTCCATAATAAACAATCCACACGATTCTGATCAACATTGACAGAATCCAATAAAGTCATAAATTCAATCCACACATTAACTTCCCAATCTGCCAAATTCCTTCTCCATTTGAAATCCCATATCCACTTTGCAGAGCTAAAATAACCAAAATCTGAAAATTTCCCCTCTTTTTTAACTGATAAAGCATATAGTCTTGGAAACCTAACCTTTAAAGACGCCCTATCGATCCAAACATCATGCCAAAATGAAAAGGATTTCTCATCCCCAAGTTTCAAAACCATCTTATTCCGAGCAGCCTCACCAATCACATCCTTTTTCATCCAACTTTGGGCAACATTCTTCCATAACCAAGAAACTTTGGTTGGTACCTCCTCCATAAAAATATCATTACAGTCCATATTATATTTACAACAAATCAATTGTTTTCATCCCGAGTCATTTTCAGAAGAAAATTTGCAAACCCATTTACCTAATAAAGCTCTATTCACCAACTGTAGATTAGGGATCCCCAGCCGTCCACAACTCTTAGGCAAACACATAGAATACCACTTCACCCAATGTATACTTTTCCTCTCACCCGACCCTCCCCACAAAAATCTTGCCATAATAGAATTTAAAACTTTCAATACCGATGCAGGAATTCTAAATATGGACAAAATAAATAGGAAGAGAACTCAACACCGACTTTACAAGCACTGCTCTACCAGCTAACGAAAGTGACGCAGCTTTCCATTCGGTCAGTTTTGGTTGAAATCTCCTCAGCACTGGTTCCCACAAAGCTGCCGAATTTCTCCTAGCTCCAAGACGAATTCCCAGATAATCAGATGGGAAAGAACCAACTGAACAGCCAATAGAATCAGCCCATTCTTTTAACACCCCCTCCTCCACATTAATCCCATAAGTCTTACTTTTAACCAAATTTATCTCGAGACCCGATAATAATTCAAAAATCACCAATACCCTCCTAACATTCTTCAATTGATTAACCGAAGCTCCACAAAAAATCAAAAGATCAGCAAATTTTAAATGGGAAAGATTAAAAGCATGTCCTTGTTTCCCTATGGTAAAACCAGCAAACAAACCCAAATTAACAGCTTTTGACAACAATCGGCTAAGAAGCTCTCCCACCAGGTTAAACAGCAAGGGTGATAGGGAACACCCTTGACGAAGACCTTTAGATATCTTGAATTCTTCCGTTGGAGAACCGTTAACTAAAACAGAAACAGAAGCAGTTGAAATACACTTTCGAATCCAGGAAACCAATTTTTCACCAAACCCCATTAGCTCCATGACCTTTATAAGCAAAGACCAATCAACCGAATCATACGCTTTCCTAAAATCAACTTTGAAAGCAACACCAGCTAACCCTTTTCTCCTCCAATATTCAATCCCCTCATTTTCCATGAAAGAACAATCTAAAATTTGTCTTCCCGGGATAAAGGCGAACAGTGAAGACCCAGTTAAATACTCCATGCACCCTCTAAGTCTTCTAGCTAACGTCTTCGAAATGATTTTATAAAGACCCCCAACTAGACTAATGGGACGAAAATCATCAATGCAATCAGGACCCACTTTCTTAGGAATCAACGTATTAAAAGAGTGGTTAATACCTCTGTCCCATTGTTTTCCAGCAAAGAAATCCCTACAAAACTTCATAACATCTTCCTTAATATAAGTCCAATTTTTTTTGAAGAATCCCAAATTTACCCCATCTGGCTCTGGAGCTTTATTCGAATCCGACTCTGACACAATTCCCCATATTTCCTCCTCTGTAAATTCCACTTCCAACCTCTGAGCCATATCTGGGCAAATCTTTGAAAACTCCACATTTATCTCCACTGCCTCTAGAGTTTTTATTGAGTTATAAGCCTCTTTAAAATGCTGATAAATATGAGCTTTAATGATTTCCGAAATCGAACACTCCTCCCCTTTGATCTTCAACGAAAAAATAGAATTCACCCTACCCCTCTTTGTTGCACATTGATGAAAGAACGAGAATTACGATCCCCTTCCAAAAACCATTTACACCTCGATTTCTGATGCCAAATTCATTCTTGCTTTTGATAGAGCTTCCATAATTCATTCTTTGCTTTAACAATCCGATCGAAGTCCACCAATTGTGAACCCTACAACCTCGCCAATTCCATCTCATGTATGGATTTTTCCAGCTCTGCTAGTTCTTTTGATAGTCCAAAATGTTTACTTCCTGACCATGCTTTAACATCCACCTTAACCTATTTCAATAACTAAGATAGTCCTCTGCGTCTCTTCCTCATCTTCAATTCCCCAAACTTTGCTTTTATCATTTCCTGAAAGCTAACATCCTCCAACATATAATTAAATAACTTAAACGGCCGAGGACCCCAATCAAACAAAATATTCTCCAACAAAACAGGATTATGGTCACAAACAGAACGAAGGAAGAAATAATTGAGCAATTCTAGGAAACAGAATTAAAAACACCGAATCCACCAGAAATCTATCTAACCTCGCAACCGATTGTTCCTCTCTATTATTTCTCCAAGTGAAAGTACCACCACTCGAGGGAAGATTAATCAAATCCGACATTTGAATAAAATCCGAAAAACCCTTCATTGAATGAAATTTTTGAGGATATTCAACTAGAAACAGCAATAAAAAAATGATGAGTGAGAAAGGTAGAGAGAGAAAGGGAGCGAGTGTGACAGGTCGTTCATCCTCCAGTGAGGAATGGATTGTATTTGTTGATAATCTTAGTAAGAGAGTTACTAGAAGTGAGTTAAGAGAGATTTTCAATCATTATGGAAGAGTAGTGAGGGTCTTTATTCCAAATTTTATGGTTAAACCGAATTACAAATCATCCACGTTTGCCTTTGTGCAATATGCCATGGAGGTAGGCTGTAGGAGAGCAGTTCATAATGTTAATGGAACGCTGATTGATGGGATGAGAGTCTCAGTGGGGGTTGCGAAGTATAAGAAGGATAGGAAAAGGGAAACAGATGATAAAGATCTCCAGTTGGAGGGTAAGAATCCAGTTAGAGAGGATAAAGGAAAGCAGCAGGTGGTACTGGAAAAACTGAGAAGTATGAGGGATGGCAGAACATATAAGGAGGTGTTGGAGAAGGATAGCAGAAGGAGAATGGAACATGAATCAGTGGAAAAGAAGGGAGGTCATAATAAGATAGATAATGGATTAAGGAATGTATGGGAAATGCACATTCCTACAGAAGATTCAAGCTGGGTGAAAAATTCTTTAACAGGGGTCATCAAATATCCCTTAAAGCCTGATAAGGTGAAGAAGGCATTTACAAAGGAGGGTTTCGAGGTCAAAATAATAAGCTAGGGATACGTAGGTAATGCTTGTATTATTAGGTTCAATTCAAACGAAGAATTCTTAAAGGTGTGGTCGAATGCTCGTGAGAAACTATTTTCCTGGTTTCCATGGTTATCTCTGCTGTTGAATGAAAATGGTGTTCCAATGACGTATTGCTTAGTTGAGCTGGTTGGGTTACCTCTCCTTTGCTGGAATGAGCCTTTTCTGCAGAAACGAGCAGGAAGGTAGGGAGAGTTTGTGAGTATCCTAGAGGAGACAAGAAATAGAGAGGATCTCTCATCGGCGAAATTATTGTTAAGAGTAGCAAGCCCTTTTGATGTACCCGAATTTATCACTGTAGGGTCTTATGGAAGATCTTTTAAAGTTAAAATTACTTGGGGAGGGAGCTGTAATAAATGCTCATTAGCAACCAAAGAAGAGTTGCAGAATATCTCAGATGATGGATACAGTGTTGATTATTTGAAGGAGGATGATGGATGAAGTTCAGAGAAGGAAAAAGACAACCAGGGATTGTCAGCAGAGGCAGTATGGTCAAAGGTGGACACATGGCTACAGAAAAGTCAGGAAAGTGGGAGGAATGAAGGAGGTGGGGAACAATTTCTGAAAAAACAGTCCAACACGAAACCCAACATTAATGGGGTGTCAGGAAATTTTGAATTTGAATTTGAGTCGAATATTAATAGGGACTACGCGGGTCTTGGGCTGAGAGAGGATGTGGATCAGATATATTCAGCCCATTCTGATTCCAATTGGGAATCATTTTCCACCGTCACAAATTTAATTCCTGCTGGGCCTGCTGTAAAAATTAAGTGGGATAAGCAAGAAAAGCCCAATAAGTTCAAGTCTTTTTATGAATCAAATGAGGAAATATGCATTTTAGTAGAAGAGGAAATTAAGGGAGTCCAAGAAGTTGAAGGTAATGTTTCAGGTAAGGAAGAAGGAAAGGTGTTGCAGGAGGAAAATACTGGAATTAATGAGAAGAGTTCTAAACATTGGAAAATGGGATTTCCTGTTTCTGCATGTTTATCAATAAGAAGTGCACCTGATGGAAGGAGGGGAAGAGGTCGATATGCTAGAGTCTATAGAAGAACAAGAGATAGAAGAATTTGGTTATGTTTGAGTAATGAGGCAGATATAATTTGTTCAGAGGTTATTCCGAATCAAGAACAGAATTTTACATAATGCAGAAATATTCAATTGTTTTCTTCAAAAAAATAGGGGAAATGGACAGGAAAAGGATATCAATTGTTCTATTAATTATAAGAATTCATCTACGGTCCCTCTAATTCGCAGTAATTATTCTGAGGGTCTGGCAACAGCTACTTATTCTGCTTAAGAGAAAGGAAGAAATAACATAAAGGAAAGGAGAGTTTTAACCAGGGAAGCTGTGGACCTGGTTAATATTTATACTGTCTTTTCACCTCAATTTTCGAAGTTGGTGGAGGAAGCAATGGCCACATGGGAAGTTTGTCAGATGTTAGGTATTTCTTTCAAGGAGGGGAAGAAGGCTTTCATTGAAAAAAATTTAAGCCTTGAGAATGGCTCGGAGGTAGTTATGGAAGGATGATATGACGGGGGATCTTGATGGGGGTTTAGATAGATGATTTCTTAATGATGAAGTTAAAGTTAACCATTGTAACATGGAATGTTAGAGGATTGGGTAGAAAAGAGAAGCAAAGGGTTGTTAAGAGGATAGTGTCTAAACATTATCCTCATTATCTGTGGCTGCAAGAAACAAAATTGGAAAAAATCCAGAAATCTTTTCTTAGAAGGAATGGATTAAATAATTTGCAAGGGTTTATTGAGTCCCCATCGATTGGTTCATCAGGGGGTTTACTAAGTTGCTGGAACGACAATCTCTTTGAGTTGGAAAATCAGTTTATAACCAGTAGATTTATTGCTATAACAGGGAGGTTTCGTGCCAATAATTTCAGATGCAGGTTCATTAATATGTATGGTCCTTCTATTGAGGAGGATAAAGGGAGCTTTTTTGAAGAGTTAAGCATGTTCATAGGAGGTCACAGTGAACCCATTTGTGTTGGAGGGGACCTTAATGTTTATTTACATGAAGACGAGAAGATTGGTAGAGTTCAGAACAGGAATTCAATAGGGATTTTCAGCCAATTTCTTCTTATCACTGGTTTAATTGATTTGCCATTGAGTGGAGGTAGGTTTACTTGGTGAAACAACCAAGATTCCCCAACCTATGTTAGACTGGACAGATTTTTGGTTGATAGACAATTCATGGCTGCTTTTCCAGATTTAATTCAATCATTACTGCCAAGGTGTTTGACCATAATGCAGTAATTATTGAAAATGGTGGTGTTAATTGGGGAAAGAAACCTTTCAAACTTTTTAATTATTTGATGGATGAAGTTGGTTTCGAGGATTTGGTCAGCAATTCAAGAATGTAAGAAAGATCAGAGGAATGTTGGAATTTTTAACATTCTAAAAAAAACAAAATAGCCAACAAAATTTGGGCAGGGAGGAGAGACATTTCCAGGAGATTTGATTTCAGAATTAGAATTGAAGATTCAAAAGCTAGAAGTGGATGTCAACAGGTTCAAGATGGTTTCATTGGTGAGAAAGCAGATGAGCTGCAGAAGTTAAGAACAGAATTGTGGAGGTTGTATAAGATAGAGGAGTTGATTTGGTTCCAGAACCAAGATCGAAGTGGGTTGAAGAGTGGAGTGATTGGGATTGATTATCTTTTATGTCCGATGTGTGGGAAGTGTGAAGAGTCAATTTCACATCAGTTTTTTGCATTGTGAGGTGGTTTGGTTTCTGTGGTCTAGATTTTTTTGAGACTGTAATGTTTCTTTTGTGGTTCCTAAGAAGTTGATTGACTTTTTAATTTTGTGGGATGATTTATTTTCGAGATCTACTATTTGGAAATTAATTCTAAGGGCGGTGCTGTGGTCGGTTTGGAAATGCAGAAATGAGATTATTTTCCAGAAAAGGAAGGTGGATTCTGCAATGTTGTTATTTCTTGCTAGATTCATAACTGCTTATTGGTTTGGGGTGAGATTTAAGGATGTTAAAGTTCCTTTCGATTCTCTAGTTGGGGATCTATAACTGGCAGATTCGATAGGAATAAAGAAAAAAAGGTGTTCTCCTCCTACTAAGTGAGTACCTCCTCCAGAAGGTTTCCTTAAACTTTATGTTGATAGGGCAATGGCTAAGAGATGGGACAAAGGTGGAATAGGTGGTTTGATTAGGGATGACAAGGGTCTGTTACTTGGTTCATTCTCAAAAAAAATTGGAGGCGATCCTCCTATTTTTGCAGAGCTAATGGCGATCAGAAGAGATTTGACTCTCATTAAAGAAGTAGGTTCTTCTCCAAGACAGAGGATTATCTTGGAATCGGACTCGACAATGGCTCTGAAGTGGATTAAAAATCCAGATCTATGTACCCCTTTATTTCAGTCCTTGGTTAGAGGTGTAGTGACTTTTGTGGAAGGAAAGGGCATCATTTCAAGACATATTTTGAGAGCTGCTAATTGGGAAGCGAATGACTTAGCAAAAGCCGGTATAGGTTGATCTAGTGGTACTGTGGTGTGGTGCTTTAGTTGTGCTCAGTTTTTTAGGTTTCTGGTTTTACTGCTACAGTATGTGTTATGTTTTTAAGTCTTATGTTACAAGCACTCTATGATTAGGAATTGGTTGTACGTTATGATTCAGATTAATAAAATTCAGAGGCACTCTTTTCCTCCTTCCTATGTCCTTCATGTTACTGATATAACAAGTAGGATATGAAGGGGGGTTTTAATGAGGCCTATCTTCTATAAAAAAAAATCTCCGTATTTGAGCTCTTTTAACCCCCAAATTTTTTTTATTTCCCTCACCTCAATTTCCCAAGCCATCTCCACACATATCTTGACTGTGTCAAACCATGTCCATATGAAGGTGATAGCTTTGATTTGATAGTCGTACAAGTAACGGCATAATGTGAAGGTAATAACAAGCAATGACTGAAAAACTTACAGTATTTGGACCAACAAAAGATATAGCATTGATGTCATCGTCATCACATATGGCATTAGTGATTTCCTATACAAAATCAAAGGAAAGCGTAACAGAACCCAGTAAAAAGGAAGTGAAAACAGAGATCTTGCATATAGTACAGCACCAAATAATCAAAATACAGACTGGACCATGGAAATGACTAATGTGATGGAAAAAACCAATATCATAAATAAACCCAACAAAACAGCTTCTCTTGCAATATATTGTGTAGAAAAAAATCGTTGGTAACAAAAGAAGGTTACGTGCTTATCCATTGAAACATTTCAAGAAATGCTATTAATAAAGGATATGAGTCAAAAACAATTGTAAGTACAAACTCAAAACTTACATTGGTGCCATGAACAATATTTAATACACCATTTGGCAGGCCAGCCTCCACTGCCAACTCAGAAAGCATCACAGCAGCTCCTGAAAGAACATGGGAACATATCGGTTATATGTTGAGAATAACTTCCTTATTTAAGCAAAATGGATCATCAAGTAAGAATTGCTTAAAATAGGAGCTTTATCTTCTCATTTGTGAATATTTAGCTAAGATTTAGAATTCTTCAAATGCCTGAGTTTAGATTGAGAAACGATAATAAACCATGCCAAAGCTCACTCAAATTTTCACCCATATTCCATTTACATTTCAAAGCTCGTATCATTTTGAATTTCTAAGTATGATGTGGCTTTAACACTTTTTGAGTTCTTTTTTTTTTATAGAAGAGGCCTCGTTAAAAACCTCCCTCATAGATAACTGATACATGCATCACAAGGCTCACATTAAAGGAAGAAATAATAACTCTTCCAAATGATCTACTCGTCCAAGCATTGGAAAAGAAGACCAAAACAATAGCAGACTTGAGACGACTTTTTGAATGGGATCCTGATCTTATTTGGTCAACATGTCTTCTGGACATACAACCGTCTGTCTCTTATCTTTTCAACGGTTCTTGAATCGCATCAATCCGATATCGGGAACTCAAGATATGACCATTTTACTGACGATGGTGCATGCAGGAAATCCTATACGGGATTAATACGTTATTTTGTAAATATTACGAATTTTCAATATTTATATTGATTATTTGTAATATAATTTAATATAGGATGATTAATTATCTTTTAGGATCAGATTTATTATTTTATTAGGAATTAAGGTTGGGTTAAAACAATATTTTTAATTATTATTATTTTATTAGGAATTAGAGTTAAAACATGTTTAGTTTATTATTATTTTATTCTTTAGTTATTTAGGACCTTTAGAATTCAGCCCCTATATAAAGGAGGCTTCATTCAACTTTGGAATTCAGATTTCTTTGATCAATAATACAACGAGAGTTTGTTTTTGCAAGTGCTGATTGCCTTGTGCCTTCGAAGCTTCTTCTCCTGGAGTTCTTTCAAGTTCTTGTGAGGGAGATTAATCTTCACACTCCAATTTGCCTTTTCATCGCGACTAGGAGAGTTGGTTAGAGCCATTTATCGTGTTTGCCTTTTCATTGCGACTAGGAGGGCTCGATAAAACACTTATCCATCTATTTTTCCACAAATCCATCCGCACCATCAATCATCTTTACCGTTCACCTTCATAAGGGAGATCTTTTGATTTCTTTATTATCTTATTTCATGTTTCATTTATTTATCTTTTATTTATTTTATTCTAATCGTGTTGTCTTGATTCCAGCACATAAAAGAAACCCTAAACAATTCTAGCGACTGACGCCACCTTCCCATATTCATCACCTTTGTTCTTCATCGAGTCTAGAACTTTCTAGGTTTGATTCTTCAACAAGAGCAACGTTCATTAATCCGCCACCGCTTCCCTATCAATTGGTATTAGATTTGGGCCAATTCTTGGAAAGAAACAAGCAATCTTGCTTGTTCTTGCACACAAAACCGTCAAGGTACCCCAACGGAGCTAGTTCACAAAAGATTCAGCGTTTCAGGTTCTTTTTTATTTAATTTTAATTTATATTTAAATCATTCTTGTTAGTTTGCTATTTTTTTCAAAAAAAAACAAAAAAAAAAACAAAAAAAAGCCAAAATTTCAAAAAATTGCAAACGAAGTTATATAGGGCTGATTTTATCCATATATCATATTCATTCTAAGATTAATCCCCAGTCCAAATTTCACCCCAATCGGAGTTCATTGGAGCCTTCAAATACATCATTCAAGTTTCATCGGCAGATTCGGTTTAGAATCTTGTCGAATTTCTTGAAAATTTTACAGGAGGAATTTCGTGGTGAAAATTTTCAGATTGAAAATTCATATATTGAAGATCATTCAAACAAAAAATCAGAATTTTTGGAGATCAACAACACCTTCGAACAAAGCGATCAAGAAAAAACAGATTGTTTGAGGACTCACCGTTCAACAGAGTCTACTGGATACTACTGAAGGTATTTGGTTCTGAAATTTTACAGGTGGTTTCTTGACGCATCAAAAGATATTCAAGAATTTTTCCAGAATTTTTTGACACCGGTAACCCCCTCAAAAACGTTGCTCAAATTGATCCAGCGTTTTCCAGGTTTCTGGGTTGGTTCTTTTTTTTCTTTGACTCTTAGTGCTTTAGGTTCTTTTGTTTTTCCTTGTTATTGTTCCTTTGCATTATCTAACACATTATCTTCATTGTGTTAGTAGGACTAAAGAGTTTGCATACTTCTTCCTTCTTTGCATTCTCGTTCTCTTGGAGTCTAACCCTTGTTTGGCCTCTTAGAACTTTTAAGTTTTTCTTATCGCCTTTGCTAGTAATCAAACTCCGATACGAACTGTGGAAGACTACTTGGTAAAGTGAGTTTTAAAGAGTACAAGATCGGCTTACTTGCCTCTCGTTGTGTTACTTTTTTTGGAGTGACTTGTGAGGTTTCTTGCTTTGTTGAATTTTCTTTCTTTTATTTTTATTTTACTTTAAAATTTTCTTTTGAGTGTTATGATTTCAGGATGGGCGACAATAACAACAAGACACTTACGGCTATCTTAGCCACACTTTCCCGACTCACGACTCTAGTTGAAAGATTTGATGAAACCGAGAAAACGACAAGAACCACAACTGGATCTACCAAACCAAAATCCAAGACCAAACAATGTTGAACTTTTGGTACCCAGGCGAGAACAACCACGTTTATAAGCACCCGAACTCTTTGCAAAACCAAAGTTCACGATCACGTCTTTCAAAGGAGACAACGATCCAGACAGGTACATCGATTGGGAAGGAAAAGTTGATCTCATGTTCGCATACCATGATTGCCCCCAAGCTAAACAAGTTCACCTCATCACCATGCAATTCGAAGGATATGCTCGAACTTGGTGGATGCAAACAAGGAAAAAGGTCCAGAACTTCCAAATTCCAACAATCACTTCTTGGACCGACCTCAAACAAACCATGAGGAAGCGATTCCTACCGACACATTATACACGAAAAGTTAAACTACGACTACACCAACTTCGACAAGGTAGAAGTTCAGTTGAAGACTACTACAAGGAGATGCAGTCCTTACTCAATAGGGCTAACATAACCGAAAAAGAAGAGGTAACCGTGTCAAGATTCGTCGTCGGCTTAAACTCAAACATCACTGATCTTCTTGATCTCCATGAGTACGAAAACCTCGAAGATACACTAAAGAAAGCAATGACAATCGAAACACAAATACAAAGGAGATTCCGATTCAGAGAATATTACCAAGGTATTTCATCCTCTTACCAAGGTAATCCTTCAAATCCTTCCTCATCTTCTACTCCATCTTCTCTGAAAAAGCCAAGAGATGACAAACCTGACAAGGAGAAAGAACGACCAGCAAAGAATGACACACTTCCAACCCCTAAAGATCAAATGATAATTTCTGAGGAGGTAGAGAAAGTAAAAAAAAGAAAAAGTTGAGAAAGAGGCAAAAGAAAAAGAGGTCACTAGTTTCAAAAACCAAAAGAATAATGACCTATGGGAGGTGAGTGAACCTAATTGTGAGAAGAAAAGAGTGACTCAAAATCTATGTGTGAGCACAAAAGAATTGAGAGAGAACCTTTTTTACAAACAACCTTCCATCCTTGTTCACTTTAGGGAATCAATTGTTTCGATTTCTAATATTAACAAGGATTTGCTTAGTGTGTTTTCATCTTTGTTACAAGATTTTCGAGAAGTGTTAGGTGATCCACCTAACGAATTACCACCGAAAAGAGGAAAACAACACCAAACCAATCTAATTCAAGGTTGCATCATACCTCGTCAAACATACAATCTCGAAGAAACCAAAGAGTTAGATTTGTTACAAAAAGGCTACATCCAGGAAAGCCTTAGTCGTGACGCCATCTTAATGACGAAACATGACTTGAACAACTCCACATGCTTTATAGTTCATGCACAGAGAATCCATGTAAATGATGTAAAAGCAACACGAGACTGGACCACACCATCTTCCATCGCCAAGAGTTGTCGAATAGTGCTAGGTGACCCTCCTGACGGGTTACCACCTGAAAGCCCTAATCACTATGCCATATCAATTAAGAGTCACGATTTACGGGAGTCCAAAGACCGAGGTAAGCAAAACACAATAGACGATGCACTACCACGAAGGTATACTCTTACCTATCAAACGCATACTACTATTCCGAGAATTGAACATATCAAAGATGTATATCACAATAACTCGGATATTTCTGATAATTCTACCCATACTTTTAAAAGTGCTTTTAATGAGCTTTATCTTGTATATGAGTTTCCTTGCCAACTAAACAGGTTTTACAGTCCACAAATCTCCTCCCGAGAATTCTTAATTCATGAACCACACTTAGGAGACTTAAGGGATTACTTTAACAAACCAGTTGACATGGTTTTTAAACACTCATTCTCGCCACACAAGAATAAAACCATGGAGAAATTATCTGAAGCAATCATACAGAAAGCCAACAGAGGTCGACGCCATGTTGAATTTCAACCAAAACATCATATTACAAGACTTGTATGCAAAAGAGGATTTCAAGACTACAAGAAATCAGTTCCTATAAAGAAGAAACCTCGACTAAAACGCATAAAGACATATCACATTGATCCTGGTAAATGTTTCACAAGTTTTCTGTTCAACACATCTAATTCTCTTTCTTTTGGATTTTCAGATTCGAGGACGAATCCTTTTGAGGAGTGGGGGAATGATACATGTACCAGAGTCCAGAATACATGCTTCTTTGGACTAATGTTTCTACTCGAACCTATTAGAAGAACAAAGTCTCGAAGATTCAAAGCATATCTATTCGGTAAGAATAATGTGAATGAATCATTAAACGATTCTAATGTTGCTCCCTTTAATGTTTCAGATTCGAGGTCGAATCTTTTTGAAGAAAGGGAGGATGATACATGCATCACAAGGCTCACATCAAAGGAAGAAGTAATAACTCTTCCAAATGATCCACTCGTCCAAGCATTGGAAAAGAAGACCAGAACAATAGCAGACTTGAGACGACTTTTTGAATGGGATCCTGATCTTATTTGGTCAACATGTCTTCTGGACATACAACCGTCTGTCTCTTATCTTTTTAACGGTTCTTGAATCGCATCAATCCGATATCGGGAACTCAAGATATGACCATTTTACTGAAGATGGTGCATGCAGGAAATCCTATACATGATTAATACGTTGTTTTGTAAATATTACGAATTTTCAAAATTTATATTGATTATTTGTAATATAATTTAATATAGGATGATTAATTATCTTTTAGGATCAGATTTATTATTTTATTAGGAATTAAGGTTGGGTTAAAACAATATTTTTAGTTATTATTATTTTATTAGGAATTAGAGTTAAAACATGTTTAGTTTATTATTATTTTATTCTTTAGTTATTTAGGACCTTTAGAATTCAGCTCCTATATAAAGGAGGCTTCATTCAACTTTGGAATTCAGATTTCTTTGATCAATAATACAACGAGAGTTTGTTTTTGCAAGTGCTGATTGCCTTGTGCCTTCGAAGCTTCTTCTCCTGGAGTTCTTTCAAGTTCTTGTGAGGGAGATTAATCTTCACACTCCAATTTGCCTTTTCATCGCGACTAGGAGGGTTGGTTAGATCCATTTATTGTGTTTGCCTTTTCATTGCGACTAGGAGGGCTCGATAGGACACTTATCCATCTATTTTTCCACAAATCCATCCGCACCATCAATCATCTTTACCGTTCACCTTCATAAGGGAGATCTTTTGATTTCTTTATTATCTTATTTCATCTTTCATTTATTTATCTTTTTTTTATTTTATTCTAATCGTGTTGTCTTGATTCCATCACATAAAAGAAACCCTAAACAATCCTAGCGATTGACGTCGCCTTCCCATATTCATCACCTTTGTTCTTCATCGAGTCTAGAGCTTTCTAGGTTTGATTCTACAACAAGAGCAATGTTGATTAACCCGCCACCGCTTCCCTATCAATAACCCTTTCCCGAAAGAAAGAATCAGCTAACGGAAGGAGGAAAAGAGTACCTCATTTTATTAATATATCAAATGTACATAAAACTTAACAATTACACCAAACAGAATTACATAAGACTTAACAACTCCACCAACAACAAAAACCCACTAACTCGAGAAGAAAATAACATACAGATATAACCTTACAATCAACCAATCTCCTTATTTGCTAAACTATTTGTCTCCCCATTACAAGCCCTAGGAATCAACCTAACTAATAGCACCTTTTCAGAGATGAGAGAAAATCTCTTTAACTATAGGCGAGAAGAAAACAGGAGCCAAAGATGGGGACTATATCCACTCCACTGCAGACTTACAGTCACTTTCAACAATCAACCTACCAACAGAAACCTAACGTGAAGACAAAAAAAATTTCAATGCCTCTTTTAATAGCTTTTAATTCAGCAACTGGTGGGGGACCTTGACCAATATTCTCTGAAAAAGTCAGAAGAGTGTAGCTATTCCTGTCTCTTAAAATGCCTCCAATACCTCCAATCGAGCCTTTTAATCTTACAACTCCATCAACATTCATCTTCAAAAAGTCAACAGGAGAGGGGTAGCCAGCAAAGCACAGAACAAACCTTAGTTTTAGGAACTGAAATACCATCTGCAAGAGATGGATAACCAATCAACACATCCTCCTGTATAGGGAACTTAGGGAACTTGGCTAGAAACCATTTAAATAACCTAAATCTAACAATGAAAAAAAAAAGCCTATCAAGAGATAATCCTTCAAACACAATTGCATTCCTAACTTTCCAAATAAACCAAAATACGACTCTCGGAATAAACTTCCAAATCAACGAATTCACCCTCAAATCACCCCAAGAGCCAAGTAAAGGAGGGTCGTGGGGTAAAAGTATTGATAAATCCCAAAAGCTTACTAATTTATTCCATAAATCCCAAACTACGTAACACGAAATAAACAAGTGTTGCACCGATTCCTCATGTTTCTTGCAAAATGGACAAAGAATATCTTCACCTAGGAGCATTCCTCTGTTAACCAACTCTACTTTGACTGCCACTTTCTGATGAGCTAGCTGCCAAAGGAAAGCTTCGACACGCGGTGGAGGTAGTCCCAACCACACCCCTTGTAACCACATATCGCTACCCCCATACACCTTACCCAGTGCACTTCTGCAATATTTAACCAAGAACAGTCCATCTCCGCTTATAGACCAAGAAAGAAAATCTTCTACTGAATCTGACAGTTTTATATCATTCAGCTTTGACATCAAACCCATCCATTGATCCAATTCCCAATCACACAAATTCCTCCTTGTTTGAATATTCCACACCCAACAATTCGATTCAAAACTGCCAAACTCTGCAACCTTGCCCCATTTGTTAGGAGAAAGCGCATAGATTCTAGGTAAAAGATTTTTTAAAGGAACCTCATCCACCCATGGATCAATCCAAAAAGAAATGGACTTCCCATTACCCACTTGCAACTTCGAATATGATCCAAGACATTCTCCCTCAGAATTATTCTTCAAGAAATTATTGGCAATACCTCTCAAAATCCAAGAAGATTGAGGAGAAATAACCTTACTAATAGACATTGTGTTGCAACAAATTTTATGCTTGCTACATAACACTCTTTTCCATAAGGAATTCTTTTCATTGGCAAACTTCCACACCCATTTCCCCAATAGAGCCCGATTGGTAAGATTCAAGTCAAGAACACCGAGGTCACCACTGTTCAAAGGCCGACAGATTGTACTCTAATTCACCCAGTGAATCCTCCTCTTTTCCGCAATATCACCCCATAAAAATTTGACCATTAGAGAATTTAACTTCTTACCAATTTTGCAAGGCATTTTAAAAAATGATAAGAAAAAGATAGGCAAGGAAGATAACACCGACTTCAATAGGACTGTCCTGCAAGCCAAAGAAAGACAAGAAGCTTTCCACCCTGTAAGTTTAGAATTGAAGTTCTTAAAGACTGAATCCCATAAAACTTCTGAATTCTTCTTAGCACCGAGGGGAAGTCCCAAATAATCCGTGGGAAAAGAACCCACTGAGCAGACCACTGCCAACGCTCAATCAGATAAAATTGCCTCATCAACATTAATACCAAACAGTTTACTCTTCGCTAGATTTAGATGAAACCCCGCCATTATTCTGAAAATCCTCAAAACTCTTTTAACATTTTTAATCTGAGTAAGAGAAGCTTGGCAAAAAATGATGAGATCATCAGCAAACTGAAGATAAGACAACTGAAAAGAATCTTCAGATTTCCCAATAACAAATCCTTGGAAAAGACCCATGTCAGCTTTAGACAGCATCAAATGGAGTGGCTCACCTACTATATTAAACAGAAGTGGAGATAAACTGCATCCATGTCTAAGTCCTTTAGTCATAGGAAACTCTTCCGAATGAGACCCATTCACAAGAACCGAAATTGAAGCTGAAGAAAGACACTGTGAAATCCACGAGCACCATCTATTACCAAAGCCCATCTCTGTCATTGCTCTGATTAATATTGTCCATTCAACGGAGTCATAAGCTCTACGAAAGTCAACTTTTAGAACAACTCCTTGTAGCCCTTGTTTTCTCCAATAATTGATCCCTTCATTTGCAATAAAAGCACAATCTAACAACTATCTCCCGGTATAAATGCAAACTGGGAAGGACTGATGATATCACTAGCACAACAACTTAGTCTCTTAGATAAGACTTTTGATAGGATCTTATATAAACTGCCTATAAGGCTAATTGGTCTAAAGTCTTCTACACTTTTCGGATTTAATTTCTTTGGAATTAGAGTAATAAAAGTGTGATTTACCCCATGCTCCTATTTCCTTCCAAAGTAGAAATCTTTAAAAAAATTCAGTACATGCTCCTTTAAACTGGGCCAGCATTTCTTGAAGAAACCCATGGTGAAACCATCCAGACTTGGAGCTTTAGAGCTGTCCGATGATGCTATAGCTTGCCAAACTTCATGTTTTGAAAAGTGCTCCTCTAGCTTTGTAGACTGATCCCCTGACAGCTTTGCAAAATCTAGGATTAAGTCCTCCACTTCCATTGTTGATTTGGAATTGTACGCTGTCTTGAAAAAATCTGAAATATGAGTCTTAATCGAGTGAGGATGTGAAACTACAGTCCCATTGATCTTCAGACTAGAAATTGCATTTCTTTTGCTACTGTTCAGAGCACACAGATGAAAAAATCTTGTATTTCTGTCCCCGTCTTTAATCCATCTCGTTCTTGATTTTTGAAACCAAATACTTTCTTCAATCCTATACAGCCTCCAAAGATCCGTTCTGAACTGCATCGCCTGATCCCACTCCTGAGGAGAAAGATTACCACCTTGTGCCTTAAATTCCAACTCATTAATTTTCCCTTCCAATTCTATAATAGAGTCGGAAATCCCATGAAATTTTCTGCTTAACCAGTTTCTGATAGATTTTTTAGTTCCTTGTAAAATACTGAAGATACCCCTTCTATTATTCCTCTCCCTCAAGTCATCCATGGAAGATTTAACCAAGTCCTCAAAACCTTGTTCCTCCAAGAGATAATTAAAGAATCTGAAAGGTTTAGGACCCTAATCTACATACGTTTCCTCCAGTGAAACTAGATTGTGATCTGATAGGGACCTAGGTAATAGTCTTTGCACTACATTCGGAAAACAGGTCATAAAATTCCCAGAAATTAAGAACCTATCAAGTCTGACCCATGTAGAAACTTCTCTATTATTACACCAAGTAAAGCTTCCTCCCACCAAAGGAAGATAAAGTACATGCTAGGCCTATCCATAAAAGTACATGTTAAATTCCTTAGTTGAAAAGCAAGTTTCACATGATCTCTAATAAGGTTTTTAACATTATAAAGAATGAAGATAAAGTTACTATAATTTAATGTTGGCAAATGACAGAAAAAAATTACCTGGATCCTTCTCTGATGGCTTTAATATAAAAGTATTACCACAAGTAACCGCAATAGATAACATCTGCAGGTAACGAAAAAACAAGGGGAAAATGAATGAGGATCAACTAAAACAACTAAATAGAAAAGTTTCTAACAGTTTTCCTTGATCAGAATGTGAAACCTGGGAGGCCAGTGCCCTATCATTCTTGTAACAGATTAACAAAACTAAACATCAAAACAAAAGAGCCCCTTGCATTATGAAGTTACATCAAACTCTGACATCGGTTTCATTATTTTAACACAAGTTTATACATAATACAAGTATTCATACTAATTATCATCATACTAAGTAATAAAACTGATATTCGACAACCATGCTATTAGTTTGAGCTAAAAACAAACTAAGCTTACCCATAAGGGGATCATAGCTGGAAAGTCGAATGGACAAATACCAGCACAAACACCAAGAGGCTCTCTAATGCTATAAGAATCAACTCCATCAGATACATTGGAAACAAATTCCCCAATTTGCAAATTCGCCAATCCACAAGCATGTTCAACCACCTCTACCAAGGAAAATGAAAGACATGGAGTAAATAATTACAAAAAAGTTTATTCCAAACAATTATTGATGAGAGGCTGAGGAAGAAAATTATTACAGTAAAGTCATAAAGAGATACTGACCTAAACCACACAAGACATCATCATAAGCATCCTTCAATACCTTCCCGTGTTCATTGGTAATGTTCATAGCAAGCTTATCCTAGGCCCATAATGACTATTCCCATCAATAAAATTATATATGCTAATCAAGAACAGAACAAATGCAATTCTAGAGATTTACAATGTCTCTCTTAATGAGCTCTTGAAACTTGAACATTATACGCTGTCGGACAGTACTAGCAGTGTTTCGCCATGATGGGAAAGCCCGTTTTGCTGCAAAAACTGCTGCTCTGAACTCCTCATTTGTAGTCAGAGGAACTTGAGAAACCACTTCCTGTGTTGCCTGTGAAGAAATAAAAATTAAATGGTTACAAAAAGGTATTTCAATTTTCTATTTATAACTTGATAGTCACGAGTAACTAAAACAGAAACTTTTTAAGGGTACTTACAGGGTTTACAACATCAATTGAAGTAAATGACTGTGAATCAACAAATCTTCCCCCAATGAGATTGGGAACCCTCTGACATGCAGCACCAAGACAGTTTAATACCCATGTAATTTCAGGGAATAATCCAACAAGGAGAGAGGGAGAAAAAGAGAGGAAGAGCGAAAACAGAGGATAATAATTCATTTAAGCAATAAAACTCTAGCTCATTCCATGTAGGTAGGCTTGAACATTGGGACCTAAGCATTGTTGAAAAACAACTAAAGCTTACCGGAGGGTTATGTTGCCTCCAAGATGGCTCCATAACTGATAGATAGTTGTTTCTTACAGCAGACTTCTGAGGTTTCAAAGACTTGTAGTTTCTCACTACAAGGCAAACATACCTTCACTTAAAATAACAAAATACTGCAAAGAAACTGAAGAACTAGAAGCAAGAAAAACGAATCAGGTAGTGCTTTTCAGTTTTCATGATGTGAAAAACGATATACCTGACATATTCCCTTGCCGAAGCTTCGCTTTGACATTATAAACATGCTTTGGTGTTGATAAAAGGTCAGGGTTGCTTTGTCTCAGTCTCCTTAAAATTTGCCGAGGTTTTAACCCAGCTTCTGTCATTTCTTTTATTAACAAGACTTCCTTCTCTGAAAAACGGCGTGCAGATGGGTGTTCTGCAATGTCCTTCAAGGGTTCATGGTTGTGTGTACCATTTTTAACAGTAAGTACCCACAAACCATCATCCTTTTTACCCACAACTTCAAAAGGACAGTTTGTAAGTCGAGAACCAGTTTTTCTTCTGCGAATACGTTCAGCTGCGGACTCATCAACAGGTTTCCGCCTGTTACGATAGACACCTCCTCTGTCACAGCCAAGGACTACCACTTTGTCCCTCTTAGATTGTTTAATAGTAACCACATACCCTTGTGACACAGCAAATTCACCAACATGTTGGATAAGTTCTTCACGATCTATAAAGGTCCCAGGTGGAGGAGGAAGCATCTGCAGCTCTTCAGTCAACTCTGAGCTACATTCTATGTCCATAACAGATGAAATGTATTACCTAGAGTAAAAATAATATGTACTACACTTTTAAGATCCACTCATTGCCTCCCATTAGTAACTATATGCTTGATCCTCCTCCTCTAGAACTTCACTCTCCATTGAAACAAAGTGGATTAAAATGCCTACACTCCCCTGCTGGAAAACTGAAACTACGTTAAGAAAAAAGCTTCATAATTATATAGAAACACATTATTCTCAACGAATGAAACATAGACATCACAAAAATTTTATGTATCATCCAAAATGATTTAAATTCATGACATTATTAATATAGATCACGCCTCACGATCAATTTTTATCATAAATTAAGCTTCAACTATGGCTCATTCAAAAGAACATTGAAATTGGAACCTCAAACAATCAAAATGCCAAGATACCCATGTGCTTGAACTAGAATTCTAAATTACCTCTGTTTATAAATTTAATTGAATAAAACCCAAATCAAATCTAGTGATTAACCTTTCGTGACGAGTTCTCCACTAAATTAGACTCGGCATGTCAAATTACTTCTCAATCTCTCGGGAACCAAACGGAAATTTCAATATTAGAAAGACGGTTAAAGAAAGTTGGATAAAAGTTGCGGAGACTTACCGAAAAGTTGTGATCGGGTTCGAAACGACGGTGCTGGTGCTGGACGTACACTGAATTAAGTAAATTTTTATCTTTTTGGGGGGAGAGGCCGAGAGGGATTAATGTGCTCTTACTTTTTCTCACGGTAGAAATGTTTTGCAGATAGGTACGTGTTTGTCTTATTTGGAATAGCAGTGTGGTTTAAACGTGTTAAAATGTACTTCAAACAAACACGGCCTTCCGGGTTGTTTACTTCCGCTCTCAGTGAATAATATTATATTATCCATGATAGTGTGATCGATGTATATTTTTAAGATCTAAATCCATAAAATAGAGTCTTCATTTTTTTCTAAAAGTTTTAAGGGTATGTTTGTTTCCCGTAATTCGAATTACGGAATTGGTTTTCCCCAAATTTCAGTGTTTGTTTCACGTAATTCGTTTTCCGGAAAATGTTTTCCCGTATTTGTTTCACGTAATTCGTTTTCCGGAAAACGTTTTCCCGTGTTTGTTTCACGTAATTCGTTTTCCGAAATGTAATTCATTTTCCTAGTAACAGAATTTCCTTTGTATTTTCTATAAAAATGACTTACGGATTCATTTTTCGTAAGTCATTTTCCGAACTTTTCACTTCAAAGCAAAAATACTCAAAATAATTTTATTTTATGAATTTAATATTAATAAAATATTTTAATATCATTTTCATCAAAATATTAATTATTAAAATATTTAAAATATATTTATTAATATTTATAATAATATAATATTATATTTTTAATATTATATAAAATAATCAATTATATTATAATAATATAAGATATTATATTTTTATTTTAATAATATATAATAAATTTTTTTTATATATTTAATAATGAATAATATTATTTATATATTTCAATAATATTTTAGTAAAGATATTAAAATATACTAATTAATATTTTTAAAATATAATATAGTACTATTACTTTAATAAATAATTAAATATAATTTATAAAATTTTATTTCACTAAAATATACCGAAAAAATATTTAAATAACATCTTCCAAACATCATAAAAACGTTTTCCAGATGTTTTCCAGAAATGTAATTCATTTTCCAGAAATGTAATTCATTTTACAGAAATGTAATTCATTTTCCAGAATTCAAATTCCAGTAATTCATTTTCCAGTAATTCAAATTCTAGTAATTCAAATTCCAGTAATTCATTTTCTGGAAAACCAATTACAGCTAAACAAACAGACCCTAAATTTAATTCGATAAAAAAATGTATACATTATTAATAATTTTAGAATATATTATTAAAAAAATATCAATTTTATTTTGTTTTTGGCTCTGATTAGTCGGAAGCTCTTCCTACTATCTCTAATTATACATCTTATACGAACTTTAGGGGGTGTTTGGATTGGGGAATGTGGGATTCTCATGGGAATGGAATTCACATTCCCCCGTTTGGTTAGCCCGGGAATCCTATTCCCGGTAATGTAAGATTATCAATAGTGGATTTTTTGGGGTATATTACCGGGAATGTCATTACCTCCCTTTCCTTAGGTATTGTTGGATTACCGGCGTTTTAGACTAAAATGCCCTTAAATTTTTATTTTTTTTCAAAAATATATTTATTCTGTCATCGAATAATAAAAATTTTACAAATGTTAAATTACAAATTTATCCTTAAATTATTTTAGATTTACAAAAAAAAATCTATAATTAAAATTTTATATAAAGTTCAAGGGTTTAAATAAAATTTTACCCTTTCATTAAACTTTTTTTTATTTTTAATTTTATAAAAAATATATAAATATTATGAATTTAATTTTTTTTAAATAAAATATATAAATATTTTCCAACTTGTAATATTACACAAATATATAATTAGGACAATTTGGTCAAATATACATTCCAATAATCTTTTATTCCTTTAACCAAACACGGTAATCTTACATTCATGCTAAGCCAACCAAACACAAAATACAACATTCCCAGTAATGCTATTCCTTGGTAATCTTACATTCCCACTGGTAATCTTATATTCCGTGAACCAAACGCACCCTTAGTGCATGAGTGCTTGTGCTTAAAATTAGTGATAAACCCAAGTTGCAGGCTGAGGCGGAAGATCACACATTATGAAACATTGGGTATAGAGTTGAACACGGTAACCTTATTTAATGCAGGTGAATAACTAAATTTCAACTGCAAAATGGCATGGACTGGTTGGATCCAACAACTGGGGAATGTTCCTATTAACAACTAAATTTTTCTATTAACAGTGGATTGAGAATTATTTATTTGTAAAGTAAATAGAACGAGTGCGTAAACTTCAGAGGGAATATAACCTTTAAAATGATGTCAAATAGTTTGGCTATCAACCGGAACGACAAAGATAGCAAACAATACAATTATCATTTTTGCCCTTTACAGCTTGCAGATGTGATTAGATTAATCAGATTCTGAAAATTTCTTAACATTAAAATAAGTAATCCTTAAGCTATTGCACATTCACCTAACCAACGCAAATATTGTATATATAAGTCTGTCAATGGCTTAATTAATCAAAGCCTTCCTTCCTTTGTCACTTTCCAAATTACACCTAAAGGCACTCCGATAATTAAACATTTCATTTGAAATAACAGCCTATTTAATGTAAATGACAAATCCAATTGTAATTCTTATAACTAAATAAGATAATAACAAATAACCAATCGTTAAACCAACACACATATTTATAAGAGAAATTTTCAATGGGAAAAACTTATATATAAGAAAAAAAATTGACAAAAATATTATAAAATTAATCATAGAAAACTCTAAATCCACAAGACAATTTCCGCAAACTTATATCTCTATTTTTCTCTTAATTTTTGTTCTTCACCATACAGCTCATACCACGAATTTTTCAAACTTGACCAAACGTAATTCAAGTTCAGATATCTAACAACAATAAAAAAAATTAAGATATATTCTTAAAAACTACAATGATTCGAGTTTTTTTTAAAGAATTTAATCAATAAAAAAATATTAACGATCGATGAAAGTGTTGTATTAAAATTAGGAAAGAAGTGGTAAACCCCGAAATAAAACTTATATATCTATTACAAACTTTTGCAATATTGAGATTACAAACTTAATTGTAAAATATTAAATATTAGAGACAAAATATATAAATGATCATTAAATTATATAAAAAATTATATTAAAGTTTTGAAAGTTATAAAATGGCCACTGCAATTATAAAATATTTTTTTATAAAAGTTAATAATAATTTAAATTTTAATTATTTTATAATTTTTAAAAGTATAATAGTTAAGAGAATCATTTCAACATAGATTAATAACCGTTTGTGTATTTTATCCTAATATTATTAGGAAAAACCTACAACGCTCAACGAGTATTGTTGAGCACCATTAATTTAATTTAAACAAATTTAAAATTCTAAGGATTCAGCGTATAATTATAATTTAGTTAAAAATTTAAAAGTAAATTGGTTAAAATACAACTATTTATTATATTATTTTTCTTTTTCATTTTTGGGTAAACTATAACCGTGATTACCTAACTATTGCCCTTTTTCGTTTTGACCACCATTTTTAAAATTTTATCACTCAAGACACTAAACTATTTAAATGCATTCAATCAAGTCGCTTGTCGTTAACAATTAACGGAAATGTTGATGTGGCAGTTAATAAAATTTGTATAATTACACATTTAGTCATTATTACTTACACAATCTATCAAATTAGTCATATTTTGAAATTAATTCAATATATTTTATCCCCTAGTCATATAACTTCAAATCTTTTATATTGAAATATTAACAAATGATACACAAAGAAGTATCCTCCAATCATATAACTTCACATTTTTTTAATTTTAATTTGATTATTTAAAATAAATAAGGGAAATAAAAAAAAAAGAAAATCGGTGGATCAACAACGAAACATGTTTGAGATGATTTTGTAGTTGTTGATATCGATATGTATACAATAAACCAAGTTTCACGTGGTATTTTTTTCGAGTAACAATACTTGTAATATTTTCTACTATTTTGATTTTTTTATTTAATATATTTTATATCTATATCTATACGTCTCATATAGATTGAGTTACAATTTTGATGCTTATTATGATATATTTTAAAATTTTCTTTAAAAAAGTAAGTAAAATATTATTTGTTTTATCATTGATGAATTTCTAACAATTAATCTATTTAGTCATTAGACAATTGGCAATTGACATGATAAAATCATCAAATTATAATTATTTGTGTATCATTTGTTAATATTACAATATAAAAGATATTGAAGTTATATGATTGGAGGATAAAATATATTGAATTAATTTAAAATTATGACCAATTTTGATAGATTGTGTAAGTAATAAGGATTAAATGTGTAATTGTACAAATTTTATTAATCGCCATGTCAGCACTTCCGTTAATTGTTAACAGCAAATGGCTTGATTGAATGCATTTATATAGTTTAATGACCTTACTGACAAAATTTTAAAAATGGTGGTCAGAATGAAAAGGGACAATAGTTAGGTTATTATTGATATAATTTACCCAAAAAGATTATGAAAAATAATATAATAAATATTTTATTTTAACTAATTTACCTTTAAATTTTTAATTAATTTATAATAATAAGTTGAGTACTTTAAAATTATAATTTTTTATAAGTTGAATTAATAGTTTTCATCGTTAATGTGATTAACAATAATGATAGAGCGTGAAAAAATAATCCATATTATTATTAGAGTGGTGAGGCATGCTGCCACTTTTTTTTTCTTCTTTTTGTTGTACTTTGGTAAAAAAATATATTAATCTATGCTTTGTTGATGATTGACACTTGGCCAATCTCCGTATTTCAAGGCATCAAAAAGCTTACTATTAATGTTCCTTAATAATATAATTAGCTGTTAAGAGTGCGATTAAAGTTTAAAACTTAAGTACATAGGGTTGGTTTATACGAGGAAACATCGAATCTCAGTTTGATATTATCACATGGATCTGACCAATCGCAAGCTTTCTTAACAAGCATTTGCACTTAATCCTATATTAAGTGACTTGGACCACATTTATTTGAATCTAATCCCCAACATCTTAGTTACTAATTATA